ATTCCGTCTCTATCATGGTACATAAGTCAGAATTAGCATCAGTTAGAGCTAGAATTAGCAACCGCCAGCTGAGAACCTGAAAGGAAAACTACAGTAATCTCACACTTTCACTTTTGAAGTTTCACTACTGTATGTTACCAAGCTGGTATCATACAACATGTCTTTTCATTTCATCAGAATGCTTGGCTTCAGCAATGGGCGGCCCATGAATCACCATCAGAAATAAATTACTGGTTTCATTTCAAAATGCAGTACAATGCCCAGCCCTAATAAACTGAACTCTTTCCACTAAATTTTTATCCATTTCTGTTGTCGAGAATCTTTGAGTTAATAAAGTCACACCTGCATATTTAGCTTTTTAACTGACTAATGACTGGATACTAGTACTTATACTACATACAGCAAAGCTTGTCTGGTTGTTCTGACTTTCCTACAGCAGTGGTTCTTGTCTGCAGACAGAGTAGGATGTCCTCCGTACTGTATAAAGCACAGTGTTGTGACTTGTTGTATTTAGCCTGGCATTCTCTTCTAATAAGTCCCCTTTCCTCACACCCAGTCAACAGGCTCAAATGAGCAGCCTTATTTTGGACTTGTTCCAGTAAATTTGTGCTGGTTCATTTAGCTGCCAGGATGTTGTTGATCTGACTGACTGCACTGCTTAGTTCAGGGTGGTACAGTAAGCCCTGGCTGCCCTGTCAGGTGAAAGGTGTCCATGGTCACAGAATAAATATTTCAGATTCTTTCTTTGAATTTCTGTGTATCAAGTACACCCACATCTTTTTAGCTAAATAGATCTATTTTCTCATTCTTTCTTTCATGCTCTCTTCCTGTACCTCACCTTTACGTCTTAGCCGATTTCTTTTTCCACTCCTCACTCATTTCCTCCTTTCTCTCACTTCCTCATTTTTATTCAAATAATGATTTGTTGCCCTTTACAGTCATACTCAATATGAGTGTTCAGGTCTGTTTTCTATCTGGGTTTCCCCAGTGTCAGTGGGTGTATCGTGCACATGAGGATGTGGAAGAGCTGCAAAGACAGTGGGACTCAGGCGAGGAGGAGGAGAGCCCTTTCAGCCCTTATCCTATAGAGAATGGCTCTGACCACGAGGAGGACAAAAGCACCAATGGAACAGGTGAAAGTTGCACATTATAATTAGTCTTCAAATGTACACACTCTTCAATTAAAAGCATTTTACAGTTGTGATTATGGATGTCTAATCAGTGCTTAGTCATTTAAAGCAGAATAACAATGTATCTGTTCTGTACCAGATGAAGGGCTAACAACTACATGTGTGTAAGCAAAAGGTATCTGAACAAAATCAGCATTACTTGAAAGTTTCCTGTGGTATTTATCTATAGCTGCTTTGTGTGTGTGTGTGTGTGTGTGTGTGTGTGTGTGTGTGTGTGTGTGTAATTCTAGATTGATTGCAGGCTTGATGTTAAAAATAACATCTGTTGCTGCCAAAAACATTGCATCAAAAGATTATGTGCAATTGAGACGCACGTTTTCAGATGAGCTCAGTAAAAAGTGACTTCAGCAGTAGATGATTTGCTATGGATATGGAGAATTTTCTGTTTAAAGACTGCACACGCTACACATAGGATGTCATCTAGCAACATTTAGAGTAGCTACTGCGTATACACAAGGTGGTCGATTTTCCTGACGGTGCTGGCAGGGCATGGGACAGATGCAGTACAAGGATTTATGATGTCATTCCTACCCAACACTGATGAGGTTTTATTACACAAATAAGATTTTCCTTTAATGTGCTAATAACATTTCAGGAACGACTGATTAAATATGACTTATTTTTGCTGTAGTTCACAATGCTGAGGTTTGTTAAATGCCAAATACACTGAAACACTGTGTTCCACAGACTACCAGCTGGGCAGGCTTTCCCTGTCCAACGAGCTGCCTCTGGTTAGTCTAACAGTAGATAATGTCCACCTGGAGCACGGCGTGGTCTACGAGTACGTCAGCACTGCCGGCATCAAGAGCCACGTCCTGGAGAAGATTGTGGAGCCCAAAGGCTGCTTCAGCCTCACTGCCAAGGTAGTTATAGAAGTATGAGGTGAAGTTTTTGGATTGTCAAGCTAAATGTAATGCATTTTAATCCTAGCACATATGCTGAAAGTTTGATACTGAAGGAGGAATATACCCCAGGCTTGTTAGGTACTACTCACTTCCATTTAATGGCAAGATTTTGTCATCACACTTTCAATTTGTATAACATTTGTTAACATGTTTTCAGCCTTAAAAATATCACAGCTCACTATAACAAGATCCCAGTCTGCGGGTCACTGATATTTGTTCAGCTTGATTTATTATGACATCTGAAAGCAGCGAAAGGATTTTTTTTGGCTTCACTGGTGGTTTCAGTTGTTAGTTTTGGAAAGCCAAATGTTTGATTAGACCAAAAACATAGTTGCCTTTTTTTTAAATGCAGTTTAACTTTGATAGTGATCGACCAAATCAGATTTTTAAACTTTTAGTCTAGGAATGATCCATCCTCACCAGTGGTTCTTGTCTCTACAGATCCTGGAGGCATTTTGCAGTGATGACAGCCTCTTTGTTCGTAACTGCAGCCAGCTCATCTCCCAGAGCGACCGAGTAGTTACCATGCCTCAGTACGAGTTCAGACAAATCTGTGACACCAAGCTGGAGAGCATCCAACAGCGGATCTGCAGCTATCAGCAGGTACTAAGGCACATTTCCACTTTCTCTTGAGCACGTACATCAGGTCAGATGTGAATTATTCAACACAGAAACGTCCACATTAACTTGTAAATACAATTTCTTTATTCACTTGTCAATGAATAAAAGTTCATTGAAATATAAGTGAGATAAGTTCAATCATTATTGACTCAAGTATCCTCACATTTACAAAATGATCTTGTTAAAACACACTAATGTTAGACCTGTCAGTCATGCAGCTTGTTCTTTGTGACCAGTCACTCATCATTTCTTTTTTTGTGCTCAGTTTGTTCTGGAGCTGAAGAACAGCGTGTGGCCCTCATTCCGACAGGCCAGCGTTCGCCCTCACCCACTGGGCTGCATGGACTTCGTTCCCACCAACTGCCACATCAACCTGATGCAGGTCTCCTACCCCAAGAGCACAACCACAGCTGGCAGAACTTTCAGCATCCGCTTTGGACGCAAAAACTCCCTGTATGGCCTGGACCCTGCCCAAGGTAGAGGCAATCCATACATACACAAGAAGACTTAAACATTAGTACAGTCTCTGTCACATATACTGATTATACTCTTCATGATAATACAGCCTAACCCGCTTAACATCAGCTCAGTGATCATTGTGACTAATTACAGTGTTTGACCATTTAAGTCCTGCAGCAGAGAGAAGAAGCGCCAATCCCAACCTCCTACAGTAGCCACGAGGTCTCAACAAGGATTTTCGTAATACATTAGATGAGTGATTTAAGACTGCATTAGTCCCAGTCCATACTCATGTTATTGACATGAGAAGTGAATGAATTATGTCAGCAAAGCTGGTGCCGCGAGGCAGTGTAGGAATGTGCGTCATTCTCTGTCTCCTGCTGCAGAGCTCAGGGGAGAGGGGAAAAAAGAAAGAGAGTGAAAACTGAGTGGAAATGCAGTGTAACTTGGCCAAGAAATAATTTCAAGAAGAGGAAAAACATTTCAAAATCCTTTACCCCTAGGTACAAAAACAAGTATCCTGTCTTCTGTTTATGTGGTCTGACTTTAGTTAAGAGTCTTAAGGCTTACGTAGCTGCTGACCTCCCTATACTCTCAGCAAAGATGAAAATGCAGTGCAGCTGTCTAGACAGCAGACAGCTAGCATTGCTTGCGTTGTTCCAGGTTGCCTCATCCTCATCCTTCCTGTCAGAGCGAGCTGCCAATCAAACATCTGCCCAGCAGTTGTGTTGGTGAGGTGTTTAGCTCTGGTGCTTTTCAGCATGTGTTTTGCCGCTTCAGCCTGCCAGTACCCATGGGTCTGATGGTTTCTTCTGTCATCATAAATAGAAAGAAACTGTGAGGCTTATTATCTGAGCTGATGGGAGAATATGCCCTCTTCTAGCACCGCACTCTGGGGTTTAAAAGAATGTGTGGAATATACTGTGTGTTAAGTGTAGCATATTTCTGTATTGCTTCTGTTGGGTAATGCTGTGCACCACACACCCTGAGTTCAGTGGAAGAATTTATTCAGTCAGGTTATTGCAACTCAGTTTGGCATTCAACCTGGCTAAACAGTTTTGTGTCCTGCTGTGGTTGTGTATATCAGCTGCACAAGTGCCCTCTATGAAGTTGTTTTTCATCAAGTCCAAATGTAGAACAGACAGACGTGTTACCTCATAGGTTTTCAACATCTGGGATAGATATAATTGTCAGAGAGTGAAATCTTTTTTTCATTCAACATGTTGTTTATCCTCTCCTCTCCAATAGCACAACTGAACCCCATGTCCCACACTCAGCACTGTGTGACCAGCATGGGGGCTCCGTCCTGGAACTGCTCCGGCCTGGAAGGGGATGAGACAGATGAGGTGGCCGTGGATGGAGGCGAGGCGTTGCTGGACAGTCGACGGGGTAGTCACGGAGAAGGAGGGCTGAGCTTCCTGCTCAAACAGGAAGACACAGAGACCCAGGATGCCTACATTTATTTGTATAGCCGCCTGGATGTTGCTGTGAGGGAAATGCGGCAATACGTCGCTCAGATAGACGTGTAAGTGTTACAGTTCATATATTGTCCTGTGCCACTGAAGCTCTAAATGCCATTTTTTAATATAAATATGGGTGTTATTTTTCTCAGATTAAATGGCATTTGTTTGAGCCTATTCCACATCGGTCTCTCCTGTCTAACCGCCAGGCATTTGTCATCTGTCAAATAAAAGAAAAGTGTTTACTCATATCCAACTAGAAAATATTTTCAGCTTGTGCAGTTTTAAATATTTGCTTTCCACTGGTGTTTATATGTAAGTAGACTATTTTTATAGCCTGCACAGTGACATTTGGAGATCTCTGCATAAAAAGCTCAGAGCCGTTATCCCCACACCAGCCTCCTGAGGCTGTTCATCAGCCTCTCTTTGTCTGTCTGACCTTTGCCTTGTTTAAAACTGATGATTTACAAAAGGAACATTTTCCAGACCCAAAATATTTATGGGTTGGGTCCTGTACCGGAACAGGGAGTGAGGCCAGAATAACAACAAGCGACGGAGACACATATTGTGTGTCTGTGCCGAGGAAGGGGTGTGACAGTGTGAATGAATAGATGTGTATGTTTGACTGGGAAAGCATCTATGCACAGTCTATGAATAATAGCATGTTGTCATGCAGGATTTAACTCAAGTGCTTTATATCACTAAAGCTACTATATATACAATTTTAAAATATTTAAATATGCTACAAAAATGAACAACACTATATGAGACCCCCACCCTAAATAGCATTAGCTCTATTTCATGGTAGTATTTTCAAATCTAATTGTGGAATGCTTTTTTTTTGTTTTTTTTTAGCCTGTTATCATCTATCACTGATCCTACGCGGCTTGAAGAGGAGGGTGGGGAGCCTCCGGGCGACGAGCCAAGTCAGCCGCCCTCCCTGGCCCCCTGTGAGGATGGCTGTGACCAGGACAAAGCAGAGCAAGGAGGCATTAAAAGAGTCTGCTTCAAAGTGAATGAGGAGGATCAGGAGGACTCGGGCCACGATACAATGAGCTACAGGGACTCCTACAGGTAACTGGTTAAAGGCTATGTAACCATTAAATCACACAGACTCGAGTTGAAACTGAATTGTAATGTGGTCAGGTTTAAAAACTGAGATCTTAAGTAAAAAAAAAAAAAACCTATAATACTGCTCACTTCCCCCCTTGCAGGCTACATTTCATTCCAGATGTCAGCATTTTTATTGCGATCGAGAGCAAAAATTACTTCAAAATGTTTTGGTCAGAATTGGTTATGTCACTTGCCTGTTGTGAGTTCATTCAGATGTTTCTGTGTGTGCGTGCATATGTGTGTGAGAGCCCCGCCCTCCACCACCCACTAAGATGTACATGTAGTTATTGGTTGCTGGTGTGGTGGGCTGGTGTGTAATAGAGCCAGAAGTTTGGGGCGCGGCCTCCTCGGCCACTGTCATTAAAGCCCGGCCACGGTGTGTGAAATGGAACAACCTTGTTGCAATAAAATATAGATGGAAAATATAGGCTATTATGGTACACACACATGCACGGTGAGGTGTAAACTTGGACTTTTGAAATTCAGTGGAAAGAATGTTGTGTTCAAGGTACAGTAGCACTACAAGACATGGCGCGTAGTGAAAGTGGATGAATCATCGCAATATGATGAAAAGTGCAGAGGCGGGTGATGGATCTTTTTAATTGAGTCCAGCCGAGAAGAGCAGACATTAAAGCCCAAGGTAGCAACAGACCACAACAGAAAAACAGTCAGAGGTCACTGGTTGAGTACAACCTGTGAGGAACATAATGTGTGAGCAAGGGCAGGGGAAACTGGCTTCTGCACACACGCAGACACTGAGGGTCAAAGACAGAAATGTACAGAAAGAACTAATGAGAGAAGAGTGTGTGTGAACAAAAACTGACTGTTTTGGACTCTGGTACGTTGTTTCTGTTCAAGTGTACATCTGTGTGTGTGTTTGTGTATGTGTGGTCTACGTTGTAGATACACAGTATATAGACTGTGTTTGCTCCTGGCATCAGAATGTATCTCAAGTGTTTGATCGTCCTTAATTGCTTAACATGCCAAACAGGCCTGTACGTCCCTCCTGTTTCCTTTGAGAAGAGCCCACTCCTCTGCATTGCGTTGTGGGACAATATGTTCATTAACACCACATTCAAAATTCAAGCGGTTTTGCTCTGGGTTTCGTATTAGCATATTTATTAACGTTTTTTGCCATTGTGAATAATACGCCATATAGCACCAGACAGTATGCAAATGACACATGGCTACAATTTAAGGAGCCATTAATGAGCTGTTCACCGAGTGTGTTTATTAATGCACTATCCCATACATCACCCTGTATATGTGCATATACACTAAGTGTGGACAGGACGCGTGTGTGTGTGAGTGAAAGGGAGTGTTTATGATCATGAATTCATGCAGAAGCAGATAGCCAGCAGGGGAATAATACAGCGCCCCAGGGAGAGAGCAAATTGTGTGTATATTAAGCAACAAATAAAGAGAATAGCAATGGGAAGGCTGAAGAACGAATATAGGGAGTGGCTTGAGGGAAATAGAGCAAAGACAAGAACATGTCTGCAGACACGCATACATCATTACTACGAGTGTATGATGTGTTTGCATGAGTGTGTGCGAGTAAAAGGTAGTGGAAAATTTGAGACAGACTACAAAAAGATGATTATATTAACGCTCTCCTCATTTTTGGTAGCAGACCTGAGGCAGCCAGTATCCCTTCTTTGCATAAAACACACATTCACATACATTTTAGCGACCACAGAATAACGTTGGCAGGTGGTATCAACCCCCAACTCCCCATTTTGTCACCTAGTCAGGCAGGATAATAGTAAAAGAAGACAAAGCTACCGTTCATTTTGTACCCTGTAGTCACATGTAGGCCATTCATTTGTCAGGGTAATTCAGTTTGTGATTCATTCAGAAAGCCTCTGAGGGGATGGCGAGCCTGCTTGCAAGTGATGTATAATTTGAGCCGTGTAAATCTTCCGCATGCTCGCGGTTATTGTGCCGAATCATGTACAACTATAAATACCAAGTGGCTTTACAAATGTGTCCTAGGCAGACAGAAATTCTATGAACACATACACAGATAACTGAACCACAGCACACGGGCAGCATCGAAGCGAGCGCGTTTATAAAAGTGTCCGTGTAAATAGGTGTTGAGTGAATCCATGCGTTATCACTCTAATGAAGCTACCGAGTCCATCTCTGTAAAGCAGAGGTGGTGGTTACTGTGAGAAACATTTAATTACATTTGGTCTCACTGCTGTAAATCAGAAAAGGCATTTGCAATCAGAAGGATGAGTTGGCAGTGTAATTACAAGATGCTGCTTCCCAGATCCTGTACTTTACAATGCATTTTAACTGTGTGTATGTGATTTATTGCAGTGAATGCAACAGCAACAGAGATTCAGTCCTGTCCTACACCAGTGTGCGAAGTAACAGCTCGTACCTGGGGAGTGATGAGATGGGATCAGGTAATGGATGGCTTGAAAGGATTTTTGTTTACAGTTGAAACTCACAGCTGTTTATTTAGAAGTCTCTTACTGCAACATCTATCCTTCATATACAGTAATTTGGTGCATTAGAATTTACATTAAAACAGATGGATAGAAATGTGTTTTAATAAATGCAGATCATTAAATAAAAATGGGAGTTGGTGTTCAAATGTGTTATTTGTACTTTTTTTTTTTGGCTGCTAGGGGATGAGCTGCCATGTGACATGAGAATCCCCTCAGACAAACAGGACAAGCTGCACGGTTGCCTCGAGCACCTTTTCAACCAGGTAAGTGCTTGGGTTCTGTTGCACTGTTAGTAGAGTCTGAGCATCCCTAATTGATTTGCCAAACCTTATCCTCTCAGAGGGATATTTACTAAGGTCTTGTGGATAATTTATTGGTGCTAAACAGTGAAAGGGCATATTTGGTCTCATGCAATATGTATTTTAATGCATTCCTGTTCAGGGACACAAAATAAGGGACGAGAGAATGGAAATGTATACAAATACCCTCAGAACCTGATTTAACAGCCTGAGGGAACTGTGGCTCAAATTTAATGTCAGGAGAAAGCAGATGTTAAATCTGCAGCACTGCTGTCAGCGTGGCAGCCATTAGCCACCTGAGATCTTGTCAGAGTTGAGAACATTTGAGGAGGGAGTGGGTGTTTGTAAATCGCATCCCTCACCAGAGGAGAATGTGAGGGACTTTTTCAAGGCTGTCAGGTCAAACTGTGCTTCAGTTACTGAATGAAACAAAAGATGATTTGACTGGCAGGAGACCACGTGACTGAAGTTCCAAAATATGTTTGCTGATTTCTTTAACCATATTAAAGTTCATTCGCAGTAAACTGACACTTTCTCCGTCTCAGTCAACACACGCACAATACGGACACCAGGTCCTTAAAAGTGGCCATGCATTCAAATTAACAGCTTCGGCAGGTGTCATTTACATCATCAGTGCTGGGAAGTATGCTGCTAAATTGAAAAAATTGCAGTGCCACGGTGTTTTGTGGACCTGACAATAATTTGCATCAGGTTTAGTATATATTCCCTTAAATCTTTATTTATATAGGAAGAAATGTGGACCAACAAAGATTACTGAAATTTAAACACAGTCAAAAGATGTAAAACTAGAAGATAGATGAACACAGATGTCAGCCTTATCACACACACACACACACACTGTTTGGAACAGATGATTGTGACGGTAACCAGTCTCTTTCTGTCCTCTGGTCAAGACTCTGATTTTCTCCATTCCTTATTGTTATTGCCCAAAGACCCTTGCTAGCAGTTGCCAGCATCTGTGAGTGGGTTTGAATGACACAGAAAGAAAGGCAGTAGCTGGCAGAAGAAAGGAAGAAGAAATATGTGCAAAATATGAAGTGAAGAGAGAAGCTTGATTGATTAACTGACGCCTTTTATCTGTGTGCATATCTTTGTGTGCACAGGTTGACTCCATCAACGGCTTACTCAAAGGGCCTGTCATGACTAAGGCCTATGAGGAGACCAAGCACTTTTATTCTGACCACAGCCAGCCAGGTAAATATGCATATGTTCCTGTGTACACACTTGTTGATTTGTTTCTGTTATTACAACAGACACAAACCCACGCATTTCCTGGATTTTATGTGAACAGAGTTTCTCCAAACAGAGGACTGGACTCGTCGTTGTCGTTACGTTATCCATAAGAACATCCAGGAGGACCCTTGGAACCTGCCCAACTCTATCAAAACCCTGGTGGAGAACCTGCAGAGATTTGTGGATGGTTAGTGTAACACACTCCTGCCACGTGGTCATATACAGTTACAATCTGTCATTCTATCGTGTTTCCCTTCTGCCTTTACAGATGGAAAGAACCAGCTTCTCCTGGCTCTTCTCAAGTGCACAGGTAGAGTAATGTGTCAGTGTTACACAGGAACCAGTACCGATAAACTCCCTCACTTAACAGAATGTCTTGCTGTCCAATCCCCAACACCAGACACGTCTCTGCAGCTGCGGCGGGATGTCATCTTTTGTCAGGCAGCAACGGGCGCCCTGTGCACGCTGGCCGAGCAGCTGCTGGCAGCGTTGCAGTTACGCTTCAACAACTCTGGCGAGTACCAGGAAGACAGCAAAGAGACCAGCCGCAAGTGGTTAGAGCAGATATCTGTCATTGGTGTTCTGCTGCACTTCCAGTCGACGCTAGCACCACACCTGGTGAGGAGAGATTTGATAGCAGGGTTTCTAATTTATGATATACTGAAGGTTTATAAGTTGGTTGTATCTTTAAAACTCTTACCTGATAACCGCCAGTTTTGTGGCGTGCTCCTGAAGTAAATACCCTGGATGTTTATTACTTTCTAGCCATGAGCTGTCTTTCCCACTATCTAAACTGTCTTCCTGGTATGACTGCTGAGCTTTCTTTCTTTCCTGCGGCAGAAAGAGGAGCGGACCATGTTGGAGGACACCAAGGCAGCGCTGTTGGATTTGGACAAAGTCACTGTGTTCTTCAAGCAAATGGAGGATGAGTGTCTAGTTGCAAGTAAGAGACGCCATCAACAAAAACTGACTTGACCCAACTCTGAATAAAATTTCATTATATGGATGCATGGTAGCTATTCAGCATGAGATTGTCATTTGTCATTTTCTTTTCAGTGGAGGGCAAATGAATAGGGGGCTAAAACAACACTATAAGGGCCCCATAAATCTTCTTAAACAAGGACAGAGCTCACTGTCTCTTGAGGTCCTTGTAACTGTCTTTCTATAACATGGTTTCTCCTGGCAAGCTGTGTAGGCCTTCATTTAAACCTTAGTGCCGAGCTAAAACACAAAGCAGCCAAAAGATACACACGAACATAACAATACACGTATGTGCTGCAGTAGAGAAATGTTCATTTAGAGCAAGAAAATGACAAATTGATTTTGTGGTTTGTGTTGCTTCTGTCCTCCCAAACTGCTCAAGGTCAGAACATGTATTTCAGAATAAGCGTTCACATGCAGTGGTGTGCTGCAGTAATTTCAACTGAGGACACACCCAGTTTGTTCAAAGTGGGCATTTACCTTGATGTGACTGTGTTTAAGTTTAAGACCCGGGCATATCAGCGCCTTTAGTAACCTCAGTATCTCTGTTCAGCCAAAGGTGCTGCAGGCCTTAAAAAGCCAGCAGATTCAAAGGACGACTGCATCCCGAATCAGTTTTCTTTTCAGCAGCCTCAGTCTGGCCAGCAGAGATTGCTGCTCAAAGGAAAAGTACAGCATGCACTTCCCATTTAAAGAGGAAAAGCTATGGATGAGACAGGGAATTACTATTCTAGGTTCACACTCAGCAGTAGAAAGTATTCAGTGTACACATACATGTATCATGCACAAATGCTACACTAACACATCTCGCCTTGGTCATTTACATTCGTTACATACGACAGGTGTGTAGAGGTGTATACAGTGTGCAGACCCGGTCTCCTACACTAGTTTTTAACCAAGCTATTTTGATGTAGTTGCACATTCAGCTCAGACTGCTGCAGTGCACACATATAGTTTGTGGCAATGGCGTTCGTTGGACAGTATTGACTTGCTAATAGCATCTTCCACAAGCTGAGCTCTAGGGAGGATAGAGTCATTTAAGCACCACAGAGTCTGATGCCCGCGAGTGCAGCCTGAAGCATCACAGGCGATTCCACAGGATTATGGCTTGATGAGTTCTCTAAGGAGTGCTGACCCGAGAGATTTCTCAGTGAAGATCATGTGTCACAGTCAGAAAATGTTAGGCGGAATCAGCACAAGTAGGCTTCTTACATATATGAAGTGGTTTGCTAAACAAAACCAGTAGTTCACAGTTTACTATGTACATCTATAGCAAAACATCTCAAGGTACTTGAAAGTGTCAAACTCCAGAGCTACTTGGACTTCTTATATTTTTTTTATTTTATATTTATTGAGCAGCCCAGATGGCCATAACTATAAGCACAGTCTTTTTAACCTCTCCGCGTTCTCCCCTGTATGTGTGTTGCAGACACACCGGTGTGCTACCAGGTGGAGGGCAGCCGACAGGCGCTCAGGGTCACCCTGTACATGGATAGCTGTCACTTCAGTGAGCTGCCCAATCGCCTGAAAAACGGAGGCAGCCTCAAGCTTCACACCGTGCTCTTCACCAGAGGTAAGACTGAGCAGAGTGGGACAGAGCAACTGCAGAAAGGGAGAAAACTGAGGGGAAATTAGTTCAGGGTGTAGCTCAGCTGGGAGAGCATGATGCAACAGTGGCAAATAGGGTGAAGTGTGCCTTCAATATGCAGTACCTCAGTTTCAGCACCAAAGTAATATTTTCTTTTCCCTCAGCACCTTAATGAGTATAAATGTGTCTTTTCTACAGAATCCTTTTAACAAAATAAGCCATATGTATCAAATGCACTAATGTCAACACAAAATCACTTTAATACACTACACATGTAGAATCACATCATTAAAATCCACTCGTTGCTTTATGGAGCCTGTCAACCTTTTACACGTGTACATTCCCTGCTACCGTTAGGCGCTTTTATTAAGTTAGACTGAAAACATTTCACCTTTCCCTCTCCTTTGCTGTCATACCCCTTCTAGTTCTCCATCAGTCTCAACTAGCCTCGCATGGGTGGATAGAATCATCATCATGCCTTTCTGCCAAATAGCCATTGATTTTTCCATAGACACATGCCAGTTGTAACACTAACCCAATGAGAGAGCTCATGTTGTCCTTCAATGATGAAAAAAGTGCTGCAGCACAGCCATTCGGTGAAGGCAGATATGGATATGTAGATCAACATCACCACCTACTGGAAAATAAGCGAGGAGGCATATAGGGCATGCTGTGATATTGCAGATGCTGAAGCGTGTGTGTGTGTGTGTGTGTGTGTGTGTGTGTGTGTGTGTGTGTGTGGCCATATCTATGAGCACTATATCTTCTTATATGGATTAAAAGAATTCTGTCATGTAAATGAGATTTTGGGCAATCGTCACTTTTTCCAAACATTATTTTTAAATCAAGGTTAAGATTATGTTTTTGGGTGGTTGGATTGGTTTAATTTTGTTTTCAGCGTTAACATTAAAATGAAGTTAGTGTAAGTAATAATGATTAGGCTTGAATAAGTGAGGGTTAAAGTTTGAGGGCATGAAGTAAGGTGATCATGTAGCCATGTGCTCACATGCTCATCTGAATACCTCCTGCCTGCTCAATCCAGCGCTGGAGCGTCCAGAGGGAGTGTCCCAGCAGGACTGCGTCGACATGGAGGAGTTCCAGCAGCGCACCAACGCTGTCTCTTTAGAGAAGGTCAAGGCCTACTACCGCAGACTCAGGTATGCTATGCTGCGCTGCATCACAGCCCTCCAGTGGCTAACTCACTGCCACTTTAGATATTATTTCACCTTAAAGGGAGAGTTCACCCTGTGACATTGCAGAAACCGTTTTTCAATTTCTCTTTTGCTTTTATTTCAATTATTTTCAAGATTTTTTCGAATTTTTCAAGGTTAGAGCTGCAGCGTTTGTTCAGACCTGTCAGCATTAGCTAACGGGATTTTGAGGGATGTTCATTTAGCGATGCAGAGTGACTCATTCAGGGATCGTCTTACTCAAACATTAGTATGTGTAACTTAGGAATGCAGTATTAATGAAATCTATACAGGCCAGTTTTATAATATATTTGCAATGTGCTCAACTGGTTTATTAAAACCAGGTCAAAATATGGTGAATTTAGTTCATTTTTGGTGATCTCTCTTTTTGAAGTACAGTACAGTATATATGTATTTATTTAAAATGTAATTTAACTCTGATTGTTATTGTCCTGTGGCATTGTGTTTTTGAAAGTCTGGGTATATGGTTGCAATTTCTGATGTGTGCACACTAATTCCCAGGAAATTACTAATGCAACATCAATAAATGATACAATATGTTCTGTGAGAGTTGCATACCCCACATATTGAAGTACATTAGACTCTAGATGACTCAGCTCTCTCCCAAACTGAGTCAAATGAGGAAAATCTCTAGATTTCTAAATCTGATTAAGTGTAATAAAAACTGAAATAGAGATGCTCTTGTTTCAACAGGGCTTTCTATTTGGAGAAGTCCAATCTGCCTACAGATTCCAACACCACAGCTATGAAGATTGACCAGGTAACTATACAATTAGGCTGATATATTTCACTGCTTTTACTGTGGTCACAGAGCGTGTACATTGCAGTCTATATGTCTTTTTTTAATCACATAACCTGTATCCTGTTCTTGTAACATAAGTTCATTTGTATATAATGTTGTGACTGAATATAAATGTAAGCACAGATACTGGGCCTTGAAGTTAGAGACCTTCAACCAAGCATTTCAAAAGTAAGATGAACTGGTATCCTGTTCCTTCCACTGGAAACCTCCACTAGCTGTTTAGGACACCCCTATTAACTCCAACTAACCTCAACACATCAACATTATAAACTGTATAAACCATTTGAACATCAGCAATGATTAGCTTAGAAAGAAAATTCTAGCGCCTCAAACTGACTGTAGCTGAAATAGATTCCAGTGATTAAAACTCGACAGAATATACAGTAGCTTCAGTATCTAGAGTCTTATTCTCAGGTTTTCATTGCTTTTCAAAAGAAAGACTGCAAAGGGCTAAATCTCTGTTATTTTGATTGTTTCTGTTGGTGCGCCATCTTAACAGGTCTGTTACTCTACTTAGCATAGTGTTGGGTATTAAAATATATCAAATTAAATTGATATTACTGTATTATGAGTATTTTGCTTATACTGTCACTTGTCTTGGGGGAAAAAAAAGGCCAGAACTTCCGAAACTAAAAGGAAACATCATGGCTTTGTTCTCAGTAGTGATCGAAATGGCTTGATAAGATGGCCACTTTTGTTATATCGTATTGTATCACCCTGTTTGCAGTCCATTTAATGACTGACACTTTCCCAACTTCACTTGCTCTCCCTCAAAGCTGCTGCGACCCCTCAACACACTGGACGACCTCTGTCGTCTAATGCAGTCCTACGTCAATGTCCGCCCGAACGCCCAAGGCCATCCATCAGGTGTCAGCGTGCTGTGTGTGTCCTCTGAGCTGTGTAACCGCCTGGGAGCTTGCCACATCACCATGTGTGGCACAGGCATGCAGAGGTCAGCCTTTCGCCACGCCAACACCATTGTGCTGCACGTGTAGTATCACTGGCCTGTCAGCTGGAATAGAGATTAACACAGCACAGAGGAGGTGACGTGCACCGCTGAGCCTCAAAAGCGCAGCCTTGCCTCACTGTCTGAATGAATTTCTATTTCCAAGTAGCCAGCTGTTGCACACATGGCCAAACCTACTAATGTGTGCCTGGTACTGAGGCACACACACGACACTAAACTTTGGCTTGTTTTTCTTTGCAGGTGTACCCTAAGTGTGACACTGGAGCAGGCAATGATCCTAGCCAGGAATCATGGCCTCATGCCACGCTGCATCATGCAGACCATGGACATAATGCGCAAACAGGTAAACCTCAGGCGCAGCTGACCTCAGACCAGGGTCCAGCAAGAGTCATATGACCTCCACACTAAGTGTACAGTAGTTTCTGCACTCAGTGGCCACTTTATGTATAGTCTACTGCAATTCAGTATAACAACTTCTGTATACGATTTATAATACTCAGCTTTTACTGGCATTGTTGGGAATCTGTAAATTCTGTTATGCATTTATTACTGAAATAATAGTTAAAGGCAGTGTTGTACTTGATGACATTATATTGAGAGGTGTTTGACATTTTTATCCTCTCAGTTTACTTATAGAATATTAAACACAAACTCTTACCGCAGAGATGTCTTCGACAAAATCATATCAAAATGTAAATACAATAGGTCTCCTGACCCAGAACAAGTATTTCTACACACTGTAGGCTTTTTATGTTTAGCCATTAATTCAAATAAGTGCTGTATGATCACTGTGAAGCTTATAACCTCTGTGTTATCCTTTATCAGGGGGCAAGAGTCGAGCTTTCTGCTAAAAATCTCAAGGTAATGGACCAGATGCCCCCATCAGCCCCAAGGTATTGTATAAAACCACTTCCAGCAGGCATTTCTGCCATGCCATCAGTACACTGCACTATTTATGGTCTTAGAAAAGACGGATTCCCCCATCTTATATATATATTTTTTTCAACAGGCTCTTTAAGCTGTGTTTGCCACCCTCAGATGGAGAACTCTAAGAAAACCGTCCTTCACAGAATTCATTAGAGAGAGGGTGATGATATGATGAGAGACAATAGTAACAAAAGAGGGCAAGTCTCACAAGAGTTCCTCCAAGAGACACTGCTGAAAGACTCTTGTCTCCCCAAGTGCCCCAGCTACATGGGGATCATTCCATCTTGGATACCACTAGAGTCTTTAGTGCAACGTGGAGGTTAAACAAGACTGTACAGATGACTGATGTCAGTTACCTGGGAGCACATACAGTGATGCAACCTGAAACTCAAGAATAGTCATGTACTGTTTTACTGGGAAACCACCCAGATCAAATGACTGCTTTAGCTCTCTGTGTACATGAAGCTGGCATGAACGACTTGGCAGCTGTTCTATAATACTCACAACATAAATGAAAGGGAGATGCCAGTGTGAGGGCCCATAAAGATGACACCCACCATGTTTATGCTCACACCTGAGCTCTCATTACTAACTGGGTTAACCAAAACTACCTGTAGCTGACTGTCATCCATTTTGCCTTGGACTGCAAAGACCTGTCTCTCTCACTGTTTGGGCTGGTGTTCTCCAGGGCTCAATGTTGGGACCTCACGTGAAGTAGAATACTTGAATATCCTGGTATTTGTGTATGATGGCAATCTGAATAGATGCAGAAAGTCAAAGAATAAAGAGAGAGATGGAAGTAGGTATTGAGCGACAGATGACAAGACAGATGATAGGTGGGGCTACTCTTTCTCCAGCCCATTGCATGTGGTTACTGTGCAATTACTGTAGGTTTAGTGTGAGTACTGTATTACTGCACTATATGAAGGATAGTTATTTATTGTGTCCAGAAGGAGCATTTTCATCCCTCACTTATATCAGGTATTAAAAGATCTAAAAGCATTCCAGCCTACATGTTGAACAGTATTTAAAGGACCAGTGGTATGCCACGTTTTAGATGTAACTGATGTGTATTTCATCTTATTTATGTGTTTGGAATTTGATTATGTCAGGACGTGTTACATAAATGTTCAGGGAGTGCAAGGGAGGGAATTCGAACGGAAGCTAGCTAATCAGAAACAGGACAAAGGAAGCCCAGATACTAAACTGTACAAGGCTGTTGGCCAAGAAACAGCCCAGTCAACATGTTAGGCTTTTGAATCATTGTTAAATTATTAATATATTAATACAAATGAATTAGTTGAAGGATTTCCTGATGTTAACAAAGATATTATGTTGATTTTTGAATTGGCATTTATGTTTTTATTGAACAGTTGTATTTGCTGTAGGTATTAAAAGAAGCACAGTGATTGGTCCATACAAGTTGCAGTGTTAGCAAAATGTACTGTAAGCAGTTTGCAGATTATGTAAACAGCAGGATTGTGTCACAGTAACATTATTTTACTGAAGATTTTAATCTCATGTACATACAAAACTGTAACAATGCCAGAGGAAAAGATAGGATATGTTTTACAGCAGAGTAATGCTATAAATTAAAATGCATTATTTTTATGGAAATGGTATATAAAAGATTTTGTATTCATGACTGTGCACTTGAAGAGAAGCCGGTTCTCTTTGCTCAGCATAACCTCACTGACAACTTGTTATTTTTGACTGTTTGTCGTGCATTTCAAAAATTCTTGGCATGCTGCATTCATTAGGCAGATCACACAGTCCTTTATATGTGTTTAAAAGCTGTCTGGTTCCAAATGAGCATGTTGGAATAGCTTCTTTATATCCCGTGGCAGTAGCATGGCCACTCTTAAGTTTACATCCATTAGTTCACATAAAAGACTCAATGGATATTTGCATTATCATTTCACATGTCAGATCTGCTCTTGATCTGAGCAGTGTACATTACAGTTACCATAACATGGGCTTAAGTGTGTGTCACCAGTTTAAATTCACTAATGACTGCAGCATGTTGGTGTAGCTGGACAAAAAAAAAAACAATGTCACTGATTACACATTTATCTACATTATTCTAATGTTTCATTATTGTATATACTTTATTTGCAATTTTACGTTGCTTGAAATTGTACAAAGGATCTCTGTTGAATCTTTCTAAAATTATCATTGTAAATGCAATTTTAACAAGCTAGTAAATAAATTGTTCAGAATATGATGGTGTTTTTCAGTGAAGCAGCGATGCTGACGTGCTGATCCAGTAGAGGACATGCTGTCCAACATAAAAATTCTAATACAAACGGCTGAAATGGTTTCCCCCTGGCATGGACTTTTGACCTCACATTGATCTTGGAATTTTCCTGTGTCGCAGTGTGTATTACTCATGCTGGTGTTGCCTTTGCTCTGCCGTGTTTCTGCAGTTTCACTTGAATGAGTCAAAAGCAGGGAACAGTGAAAATGATTACGTCTCTTTGCCAGTGCACACCATATCAGCTGACCGACTAAGTGCTACTGGAAGTGAACAGTAAGGTTTCTGACTGAAGTGATTTCTCTTTTCAATCCACTTACTCATAACTTTGTTTCGTCTTACAGTGATCTCATATGATCCTTAAACGTCTCCTGCTTTCCAGCCGACCAAATGCTTATCATGAGGAAACCGAATTCACTCAGAACATAGTGCCATGCATTATGTGGTTCTTATCTTTTACTTTTAAGTTTTCTTGCAAATTGGTCCACATTGATTTTTGTTGGAACATGTGGTGAAGTGTTAGCAGGGCAGGCCGAGATGTTCAGTTTGTTTGTTTTATGTCTTTTCTGATGTTGAATGATATTCTGAGATTTTGGCAGGTATATGTCTTTTATCACTGCTCAGTCAGAGAATGCAAAACATCCTTGACATAGTTTATGTGCTCACTGGTCTTAACTGGGGTTTAAAAAAAACTGCATGGATGAATATTACATGAACATGCATCATCAAAAGAAAGCCTTCCTTGCAGCTTCTCTCCAGGGCTGCACTTGAATGGAGGCGCTGGAAGGTACTGTAGCTCGGAATAGATTTTTAGAAAAAGACACGTCCCTACCAAGGTGGAACTTGTAATTGTTTTGACAGAGCGCTTCAATTTAACAAACAGACCGGATGTAACTGCATTAAAGGAAGACTGGTTGGATGTTCCAATAAATAGCCTGCTTGGCACTATTTTTCATTTCTGGGCCATTAAATGATTGCGGATAACCTCTAAATAGCTGATGGTTAGCGTGATTAGAGTGTGGGGTGAAATTGCGCATTTTCCTCCTTGCTGTGTCTGTTCACTGACCGGAAGGTGCTAAAGTAAAAGCGTACACTGTGCAGTTTCGCGTGGATATTGCACTTGGCTTTCTAGGGGGACCGACACCGACCGCATTCACCACCAGCACACACCCCTCAGCACCAGTAATGCATCCCCGCGGCAAGGGCACGGACAACCCCTTGTTAGAGTCGTCTCGACTTTAGAATGGTGAAGAAATCTCTCAACGGTGGGGTTTACCCAACTCAAGCCGGAGAGAAGAAGCACAAAGTCGAGTTTGTTGGATTGGACCCAGGGGCTCCTGAATCCAGCCGGGATGGGGCGTTGCTCATTGCGGGTTCGGAAAGCACCAAGCGGAACAGCATCCTCTGCAGACCGAGGTCCAGCATCTGTGCCGGGAGACCCAGACCTTCAAAGAAAAATGCCAGTTATCGGAAACTACAGAATTTCCTTTATAATGCGCTGGAAAGACCGCGGGGATGGGCGTTCATCTACCACGCTTATGTGTAAGTGATGCTTGGGCTTCAAAGTCAAGTACGTTGAATCTGCCTTCGTGGCCATTTACTTCGGCATTCACTGCTCTTATTGATTCATGATTGTTATGGAGCTCTTGTGGAGTGTTTAGAGTGGTTTCCACATTGATGTTGATCCGATGGCGCATTAAAGGGTTAAACGCTGCCATGCTGCTGATAGGAGGGGTATCACTTCACCTGCATACTGTTATAATAATTCTTAGTTTGGGCATTTTGGCTTATTGTTTTTAAATGTTCATAAAGATGTAAGGCATATCTACAGTCTGACATGAACCCACGTTTTACACACGTGCGTTTTTCACTGATTACAGTTTCTATATATTGCGGCAGCACTGGGTTTCAGCACCGTAGTCTGTGGACAGCTCCGCGCCGCGTCAGTACTTTCACTAATTAACGGTGCAGTCCAGCTCTGCACACTGACTCCATACTGTATCTGAGTGCAAGCAAAGGACGTGTTTTGGATAATACAGCCGGTAGCGAGACAGTCTAGGAGTATTTGTAGACTGCAGTGATGCCACTATAAATATTTAGGTTGAAGATCTGTGACCTCTGGTGAGTGATCATGCAGGAAACGCATTCTCTAATTCTAAAGGGCCTTTGCAACAAACATATTCAAGGAGTACTGCAGCAGTTTAGTGATGCTCTTTCATTATGTTGCGTGGCTTACAAGACTGATTAAAACAGATGAGTAAGAGTCTGCGTAAACAATTTGGATCCTACATTTCTCATAATGCTGTCAAGAGTATCTTTACGTTAGACCCTTCTAGTCTCTTAATCACTTTCAAAAAAAGTGGAAAAGACCTCCATTAATAATGTTAAATAAAAGTATTAACATAAAAATGTACTTAAGTATTAAAGGTATTGGTAGGCTACTCAACACAGAAAAATGTTATACTATACAGTGTATTATTACACTAACAGCCTATCACTCATGCACCAATGTACAACCAGGACCTGACTGTTGTAGTTGGTTAAGGTGCAGCTCTGCTGAACTAGTTTGTATCCAAGTGCAACTATTGATTGTTTTCATTGGGGATTAACGTGCTGATCATTTTCTCCATTGGCTGACTGGTTTGCAAACCTTCTGACAGTAGTGAGACATACCATCACAGTGCTCTAAACAATGATCAAAATAGGTATTGTTTTAATGTAGGTGTGCAAGAGCACCACCAGTCCTGCCATTAATATGAGCCTGGAGAGTTTGTGTTTCTAGGCTGAGATGTTCAGTTTGTTTTATGTCTTTTCTGATGTTGAATGATATTCTCAAGAGTTTAGCAGGTATATGTCTTTTATCACTGCTCAGTCAGAGAATGCAAAACATCCTTGACATAGTTTATGTGCTCACTGGTCTTAACTGGGGTTTTAAAAAAAACTGCACGGATGAATATTACATGAACAAGCATCATCAAAAGAAAGCCTTCCTTGCAGCTTCTCTCCAGGGCTGCACTTGAATGGAGGCGCTGGAAGGTACTTTAGCTCGGAATAGATTTTTAGAAAAAGACACGTCCCTACCAAGGTGGAACTTGTAATTGTTTTGACAGAGCGCTTCAATTTAACAGACCATATGTAATTGCAATAAAGGAAGACTGGTTGGATGTTCCAATAAATAGCCTACTTAGCACTGTTTTTTTTAATGTTTGTATATTTAAATATGTCAGGGAGGTGAGTGACGCTCCCGTGAAGATAGAGGAATGAATCCAATTAAAGAGCCAGTCAGCTGAGGCAGTAGAATGGATTTTAATGTCCTTTTGTGATTTCCGCAGAAACCGACACAGTCTTGGAGGATCAGGCAGAAGAGTGGTACTTAATACGGTCCAGGGTTGAAGTCTCCAGCAGGGAAGGCAAGGCAGACTCACAGGTTGGTTGAACAGGCAGGGTGTCGATCTCAGGTTGGCAGTCAGACAAGAGGGAGCAGGCTGGATCACAGGTTGTTAGAGCAGGCAAGGGTCTGGTACCAGGAAAGCAGTCAGAAGAAAACTCTGGAGAGTCTAGACAGGGCATAGAACAATCTGGCAGCTCCTCACACCGTGATGCTGTGGTGAACAGGTGTGGGTGATTAGTGGCAGGTGAAACCAATGTGCATGATGAGATGAAGTTACCGGGGTTGTGGATGAGCTGGTGGCAGAAAGTTTTTTCAGATTAAAAGCAGGGAAAACCGGAAGCCAGCGGGGCAGGATCATGACAAAATAAGTATAAAAGTGTTTCAAATATTTTGTATTGTATGTTCGTCTCATGATAATTGATTTTCTATAATAACACCCTAAAGTTTCTTCTTTAACCTGCTGTATTAACATATTTATGCTAAGGTCAGACTGTGGTCTTGAACTTAAAGAGGCTGTGTGTGTGCATGCATGTTTGCATGTGTAATGAAGGCCTCTCATCCTGTTCAGACAGACAGCCATCAATACAGTATGTTAATTTTCTCCAAAATGACTTATTGCTGTAAACCACTGATCTCCTTACTTATTATAAGAAAAGGAAGTGATTAGTACAGAGAAGGTTTCTCATTAAAAAAAAAAAACCCCAAATAGCAAAGCTAAAATCTGGCATGAAGGGATGATGTATCAAATATTTGGATGCATCTTTTAATTCAGCTCCACTGTAACAAGGTCCAATGCTACAGAGAACCAGTTTGCAGAGAGTGAAAATGTTTATATATTTAAATAAGTATAAAAGGGGTTTCAAATATTTTCCATATCTCTTCATTTCATAAAAATGATCTTCCATTTTCATTACCATTCTCTGTATGTTCGTCTCATGATAATTGATTTTCTATAATAACACCCTAAAGTTTCTTCTTTAACCTGCTGTATTAACATATTTATGCTAAGGTCAGACTGTGGTCTTGAACTTAAAGAGGCTGTGTGTGTGCATGCATGTTTGCATGTGTAATGAAGGCCTCTCATCCTGTTCAGACAGACAGCCATCAATACAGTATGTTAATTTTCTCCAAAATGACTTAATGCTGTAAACCACTGATCTCCTTACTTATTATAAGAAAAGGAAGTGATTAGTACAGAGAAGGTTTCTCATTAAAAAAAAAATACCCCAAATAGCAAAGCTAAAATCTGGCATGAAGGGATGATGTATCAAATATTTGGATGCATCTTTTAATTCAGCTCCACTGTAACAAGGTCCAATGCTACAGAGAACCAGTTTGCAGAGAGTGAAAAAACACGACCCAGACATGCTAGGCTAGCGCAACAACTTAAGTACAACTGAGGAGTGATACTTCTGACCTCAGTCTTGAGACAGTGTTGAACCCTGAACCAGGCACAATGGAGCCTTGAGGTCAGACGTACCACTCTTCAGTTCTTCAAGTTCAAGTTGCAGTAAAAAAGCTAAATTATTACAGTTATAGTATCAGTCATATCTGCCTGCATTACTGTGGATTTTCATTTAAGTCACTTTATGTTCTCAAAATCAAGTGTAGAACATAATAAACACAACAGGAAGACATGAAATGGCAAAACAAAACTTTGTAGTGAAATATAGCCTGTCTGCTAACAGTGATCACAGTGTATTTAGTGAAACCATAGCATCTCAATGTTGAGAGGTTTATTCTCAACACATGAAAACATATGCGGTTCTCCAGTTCATGCTTGGTTTGCAGCGACTTTTAGACTAACGGTATATCAAATAAAATGTGGTCAGTCTTTATAAGCAGGAATTTTATTTTAAATGACATGTTATGAGAGATGTAAGCCAACAGGTGCTCAGTGCGGAGCACAAAGATGTTTTGATATAAAATCTGTCTTACAAATTGTCCCCCGATACAGTCTCCCAGCTTTGTTTGTGACAGAAGTGTGAAATGCAGATCTTCTAGACTTAAGAACTCTTTCTTTCAGCCAGACAACCACATGCATGTGACTCATTTCAAATGTTTAATTGATGAGC